TCCGTTGTCTGACGACGCTGCAGGGTTATTTCGCGCTCAGCCCTCATTCTGGACGAGCGACAGTCTCCCCCCTGCAGCCTGCAGACTGGAGCCAGGTATTTCGCTTGAATTCCAGCGCTTATTCGCTTTTCACTCCCATTCCTATTGGGTGCTCGTTTCCTGCGCTTAAATCGCATCCAGTGCGAGATTATGGCATATTTTCGGTTTTTTGGGTTCCTTGCGTTGTCTGACAACGTTGCAGGGGTATTCCACGGCCACTCGTCATTCTGGATTGTTTTTTCCTGGACCAGGCGCTGCTCGATTCCACATAGCGTCAATATTTGTGCATATCGTGCATTTTTCGACTGTGCATAGCCTACACTGCGCCTATTGTGCGCTGGGCATATCCTGCGCCTTTCCTTAGTGCATATCGTGCATTTTTCGACTGTGCATAGCCTGCACTTGCGCATATCGTGCGCTGCGCATATTCTGCGTAATTTTGGTCGTGCATATCGTGCACCTTTCGACCGTGCATAGCCTGCACTGCGCCTATTGTGCGCTGGGCATATCCTGCGCCTTTCCTTAGTGCATATCGTGCATCTTTTGACCGTGCATAGCCTGCACTTGCGCATATCATGCGCTGCGCATATTCTGCGTATTTTTGGTCGTGCATATCGTGCATCTTTTGACCGTGCATAGCCTGCACTTGCGCATATCATGCGCTGCGCATATTCTGCGTATTTTTGGTCGTGCATATTGTGCATCTTTCGACCGTGCATAGCCTGCACTTGCGCATATCGTGAGCTGCGCATATTCTGCGTCCTTTCTGCCGTGCATATCGTGCATTTTTCAACTGTGCATAGCCTGCACATGCGCATATCGTGCACTGCGCGTATTCTGCGTATTCTTTGGGCATGCATATTGTGCATGTCGTGCACGTCGTGCAATTTTCGACTGCACATAGCCTGCACTTGTGCATATTCTGCCTTTTTTCTTGTCGTACATATCTTGCATTTTTCGACTGTGCATAGCCTGCACTTGTGCATATCGTGCGCTGCGCATATTCTGCTGTTTTTGGGTGTGCATATCGTGCATTTTCCACTGTGCATAGCCTGCACATGCGCATATCATGCGCTGCGCGTATTCTGCTTCCTTTCTGGCGTGCATATTGTGTATCATACACCGTGCATATTCTGCGTATTATTTGGGCGTGCATATCGTGCATGTTGTGCTTGTTGTGCAATTTTCGACTGTGCATAGCCTGCACCTGCGCTCATTGTGCGCTGCGCATATTCTGCGTATTTTGGGCATGCATATCGTTCATTTTCTACTGTGCATAGCCTGCAATTGCGGTGCATACTCTGCGTATTTTCCTACTGGGCATACTGTGCATTTTCCACTGTGTATAGCCTGCATCTGCGCCTATCATGCGCTGGGCACATTCTACGCCTCTCCTAGGTGCATATCATGCTTTTTCTCGACTGTGCATATCCTGCACTGCGCATATTGTGCGCTGCGCATATCCTGCGTATTTTTGGGTGTGCATATTGTGCATGTTTTGAGTCTGCATAGCTTGTACTTGCGCATATCGTGTGCTGCGCATATCCTGCATATTTTGGGCGTGCATATCGTGCATGTCGTGCATTTCGTGCAATTTTCGACTGTGCATAGCCTGCCCTTGAGCATAGAGTGCGCTGCGATTATTCTGCGTCCTTTCTGGCATACATATTGTGCACTCTTCATTCGTGCATATTCTGCGTATATTTTGGGCATGCATATCGTGCATTTTGAGTGTTCATAGGCTGCACATGCGCATATCATGTGCTGCGCATATTCTGCGTCTTTTCTGGCGTGCATATCGTGCATCTTTCGACCATGCATAGCCTGCACTTGCACATATTGTGCGCTGCGCATATTCTGCGCCCTTCCTGTGGTGCATATCATGCATTTTCGACTGTGCATAGCCTGCACTTGCGCATATTCTGCGTCTTTTCTACTGGGCAATATCCTGCGTATTTTCAGTGGGCATATTGTGCATTTTGATGGTGCATAGCCTGCACCTGCGCATATCCTGCATATTTTCGGCGCGCATATCATGCATTTTTGATGGTGCATAACTTGCACATGCACCATTTGTGTGCTGCGCATGTCCTGCGCATTCCTGGCATGCATATCATGCATTTTTCGACTATGCATAGCCCGCACGTGCGCATATTCTGCGTATTTTCCACTGGGCATATTGTGCATTTTTGATGGTGAATCCCCTGCACCTGCGCCCATTGTGCGCTGCGCATATTTTGCGTGTGTTCCCCTGTGCATATCGTGCATTTTTGATGGTGCATAGCCTGCACCTGCGCATATCCTGCGTATTTTCGGCGTGCATTTCATGCATTTTTGATGGTGCATAGCTTGCACATGCCCCATTTGTGCGCTGCGCATATCCTGCGCTTTTTCTCAGTGCACATCATACAATTTCGACTGTGCATAGCCTGCACTTGCGCATACCTTGCGCTGCGCATATCCTGCATATTTCTGCGTGCATATTGTGCATTTTCAACGGTGTATAGCCTACACCTGCACATATCCTGCATATTTCTTGTGGTGCATATCGTGCTTTTTCAATAGCCTGCACTTGCGCATATTCTGCACTGTTTTCTCCTGTGCATATCGTGCTTTTTGACAGTGCATAGCCTGCACTAGCGCATATGCTGTGCATTTTCTCCTATGCATATTGTGCTTTTTGCCAGTGGATAGTATGCACCTACGCCTATTTGTTACCTGCACCCACGCATATCGTGCACTGTGCACATCCTGCACATTTTCTGGCGTGCATAGCCTGCACCCATGCATATTGTGCACCGTGCATAGCCTGCACATTTTCCGGCGTGCATATCATGCATAATTCGATTGCATTTCGTGCATTTTGACAGTATATAGCCTGCACATCCGCATATTGTGTACTGGGCATAACCTGCACATTTTCCGGCGTGCATATCGTGCATATTTTACTGACACACAAGTTGTGCTGCTTTCTTTGGGTGAGCCGGCGTTGTTCTGGCTGGGCAGCACATTTTGGGGTCATCCGCACCCCGCCGGCTTTGCGCCCTGGGCTCAGCTCCCACACCCAATCACACTACTGTTGTGCAACACAGTATTTTATTTGATGAAATGTCTGGCCAGCAAAGGCTCGACTGAAGAAGATGGATGCATTGAGTGAGAGAGGGAGATCAATGCATCATCTTGTGAGGGAGAGAGCCGAAGAGCAGGGGGTGGCTGTGAGCTCACTCTCTCCTTCCACCCACCTGCCGGCGATCTCATCCTTGACAAATTCCCATTTCTGCGCTCACCCACCCACCCACAGCCTGTTTGATTTTCGATTTTGGTACAGCAGTAGAGCAGAGTCTGCGGGGTCATCCGCACCCCGCCGGCTTTGCGCCCTGGGCTCAGCTCCCACACCCAATCACACTACTGTTGTGCAACACAGTATTTTATTTGATTAAATGTCTGGCCAGCAAAGGCTCGACTGAAGAAGACGTTGTTGTATCCCCACCGGATGTCGAGCTTGGTGAAGAACTTTGCACCGCATAGATTATGGACCAGTTCGGAGATCAGTGGCAGCGGGTATTGGTTTCGGATCGTCATTTCATTGAGCTTCCGGTAATCTTGGACGGGACGTAAGGAGCCATCTTTCTTCTTGACAAAGAAGAATGCTGATGCCATGGGTGATTTCGATGGCCTGATCCGTCCGCTGGCCAGGTTCTCTTGTAGGAACTCGTCGAGTTTGACCTGTTCGTTTTGTGATAATGGGTACACCTTGCAATCCACTGCCTTGGAACCAGGTTTGAGCTCGATTGCATGATCCCATGTCCGTCGGTCCGGTAGTGAGTCGAACGATTCCTTGGCAAATACTTTGACGAATTCCCGGTATTGATCCAGAATCTTTCCCTCAGTCATTCTCTCCTTCTCCCTCTCCGCTTCTTCTGCGAATTTCTGTGCCGGTGTTTCCTTCAGCCGTAGATCCACTTCTTTCCCGAAGTCGACCAACAGGATTGATTCTCCCTCTTCCAGATCCGGTGCGCTCGTGTCCAGGTCGATTGCATCCATGTCAATCATTGCTTGGTGTTCCTCGTGACCCCTCATATGACACCGCTCTGGGCATCGACTAAATTTCATGGTCTGCTCCTGCCAATCCACCTTGGGGTTGTGTTCCGTCAGCCAATCAAGACCGATGAAGATCCGAGCTTTTCCCAAACATGTCAGGAGGAACATGCGTGTCTCCACATGAGGACCGATTCTCATCCTAAGGTTGACGTAATGCGTGATCCGACCGCTGATGTTCTCGGTGTTGTCGGCATTACGAGCCACGATGGGCTGCGGAAGCTCTTGGATATCCAGCTTTTCTGCCCGGGCGTAGTCAGTATCGATGCAGCAGGTACTGCAACCACTATCGAGTAGCGCCTTGACTCCGCGCGTTTTCCCTGAGTCCAGACCCGTGATCTGGACATATACGTCCATCGAATGTCTCTTCCTTTCGGCCTGGTAACTGCGCAATTCCTGCGCCAATCTGCTGGGCTGGGGACCCTTCTGTTTCTCGGCCGCCAATTTCCTCTGGACGGCATCTGGCACCCTGGTGCGTTTGGGTGCTTCTGGAACCTTGATTTCGGCAGATTCCTTGGGCGCTTCCTCCTTTTCCAAGGATCGAGCCTCCGGAGCAATGCTCCCCTTTTCGGTCTTTGTTGACGTGGTTCCTTCTCCACGAGCCATAAATACGTAGGAGTCCAAAATTAATTTATCTGCAACCTTCTGATCCTTTTTACTCTGTAAATACTCTCTATTTAAAGCTATTTTTCTTTGTCGTTCTTTTTCCATATCGGCAATGAGAAAATCGTGAATATTCGTACGTAGTGAGTCCGAGATTGTGTATGTATGTGTAGAATCGTTCATGTCTTTAATCGAAACAAGTATAGAAAATCGTCCATAGTCCGGACGCTCCACCTCCTTGGCTAGAGGAGTGGAGCGCTTCAAAAACCCTTCTCGCGCAGCTTCTCGGCGATCTCCTTGAGGAACTCGTTGTCCTTGTCCCCGTTCTCGATCTCTTCAAGCATCGTGGCCCGATTGAAAAATGTACGCTTCTTTCTTGGCTCCGGACAGTTCCGCGCAATGTGCCCAGGCTGCTGACAGTTGTAGCAGATGATATTGCGGCCGCGGGCATGGGTGAAATCGATTTCCATCAGGACCGGTTCGTTGGCAGCCGGCCGGGTCGGAGCAGGTGTGGGCGCCACTGGTGCTGTCTGAGGGCGGAATTGGGGGGGAGGCCGTGGAGTCGAGTGCGCATAGGATGCCTTACGCAGCTGGTCGCGCAGAGCATTGGCTTCAATGTTGATGCACCAGGCTTTGAACGCTCCATAGGCCTTGGGCAGAGGGACACCGGTGTTGTAGAGACGGCTGGCGATCTCGCTGCTGAGTCCGCGCTCCAGGAACTCAATGAGGATATTATCCTGGTCCCCCTTCTTGTATCCGCCTTTGTCGTCGGTGGTGTCGACCACATTGTAGCCTGCATCCGCGGCCAACATCTCAAAGTCGGAGATGTAGTCCGCGAAGGACCGTTTGTTTTGGCGCAGGGCCATAAGCCGAGCAGCGGCGACTTGTTCCGCATTGGAGTCCCCGAACGCCCTCTGAAGCTCCTCCAGGAAGTTCTTCGTGGTGACTCCCGTCTTTAGTCCTTGGAAGCCCTCGAAGTTGTGCTGTTTCCAGTTCATTGCCCATCTCGAGGCGGCGCAGCTTGTGCTGGTCTCATTACGGAGGTAGGAGAGAACGAAGAGGATTTTTGTTTCATCCAGTGAGAACTCCGATCGATAGGCACCAATGTAAGTGGTGCACGCGTCCACAAAGCCCAGGTACTTGGACTTGTCGCCATCAAAGTAGGGGGGGTGGCGGCGAGGGTGATGCGGTGATGCCCTGACATGGTAGGAGCAGGCATGTGAGGTGGGGGCGAGGGTGGTTGTTCGGAGGGCAGTTCGTCGAGGTCGGGGATCTTGTCTTCAGGCGGTGGGAGGGCGAGGTAGGGGTTGGAGGGCCCGGGTTGGTTTTGATGCGCCAGATCGGGCGACGATGGTACGATGGGGGGAGGGGACGGACTCCCAGACAACGATGGGAACCGGTACAAAATGGTGGATTCGTGTGCTGTACAAGCACTCGAGGAAAGGTTCTTTTGCTAGCAAAAAGATCCCAGGCCTAGCTCTTCACGTGCCCGATGATCCCGAGGTGCGTTTTCCCGAAGGTCTCCGCAGCACTCCTTGTAGCTACTGTAAGGCTTGGGTCGGGCTCAACGTTACCCGTGGCCTGGTGCTGTTTGCTTGATATGAACCCTTCACTGCGATAGTGGAGGACGACTAGATGATTCGGTAAAAGGGTGAGTGGGGTGATAAGGGTTAAGAGGATATAGCGGGCGTAGCGGTGCAGGATGCAGGGTAAGAGGTATGAGGTAGGAGGGTATGAGGGGAGTCTTCGAATTATGTGACAATCAACCCAAAAACAAAGTCGAAAAGAGAAGTGAATTCGAAGACTGGAGAATACAACCAAGTAGCTACAGTATTTATACCCAAATCCAGTCTGAGTCATATCTACAACTAATGAGTCATAGGGCTATGTACCGCATGGAACGCTGGTCATGGGTCGTAGTAGAACCTTCCGGAGCATATGTCGTACAGCCTCGAATCGATGAAGATAATCCCTGGAACCCCTAGTCCGGACCGTCTGATGCCGTGATCCGTGATAAGATAAGTCGTGCCAAGATAAGATAAGATCGTCGATGATAAGATGAAAAAGTGGCCGAACTATGACATCCTGCTGATCTCCGAACTGGTCCATAATCTATGCAGTGCAAAGTTCTTCACCAAGCTCGACATCCAGTGGGGATATAACAATGTACGGATCAAAGAGGGCGAAGAGTGGAAGGCTGCATTCCGCACAAACCGAGGGCTGTACGAGCCCTTAGTTATGTTCTTTGGTCTCACGAATTCCCTGGCAACATTCCAAAACATGATGAACGACATACTCCAAGAGTTGGTCAATGAGGGTCACGTGGTAGTCTATCTGGATGATATACTGATCTTCACAGAAACCTTGGACGAACATCGGCAGATCACGAAACGAGTGCTCGAATTGCTCCAGAAACACAAGCTATACCTGAAGCCCGAAAAGTGCAAGTTCGAATGCACGGAAACCGGTGATGGAATGGCCAGAACCAAAGAGCGTCAAACAAGTCCAAGCGTTTCTAGGGTTCACCAACTTCTATCGGCACTTTGTCCGGGGATATGCGGAGGTCGCTAAGCCGTTGACACGGCTGACAGGGAAGGCAGGATGGTGATGGGGTACGAATGAGCGGGCAGCATTTGATGGGTTGAAGAAGAGAATCGCGGAGGATGCGGTGTTAGCACTGCCAAACAACACCGGCCAATATTGTCTGGAAGCCGATGCTTCAGAAGGGGCAACAGGATCCGTTTTGAGCCAAAACCAAGACGGCATTTGGCGCCCAATCACATTTATTTTGCACGCATTGACTGAAACCAAGCAAAATTATGAGATCTACGACAAGGAAATGCTTGCAATCATGTTATCGCTTGACGAATGGAGGCAGTTACTCCTGGGAGCCACGGAAACGTTTGAGATCTTCACCGATCATCAGAATCTTGAGTACTTTCAGAAGCCGCAGAAGCTCAATCGACGGCAAGCACAATGGATCACGGAGCTGGCGGAGTTCGATTTCACTTTACGACACCGGCCCGGCGCACTCAACCGCAAGGCGGACCTCTTATCTTGACGAGCAGATCACAATCAGGGCAAGAACAACAACAAGGATGTCACGCTACTAAAGCCCTGAGTTCTTCCGATCACAAGAAGTCACATTCGAGGGGCAGGATCAGCAGCTAATCAATGAGATCAAGGCCACTCGATCGATTGATGGAAGTGTCAAGGCAGCCCTGGAGAAGTCACTCGATGGATGGAAAAAGGAAGACGAACTCATCACATACCATGGGAAGCTCTATGTATCAAGAGACGAGGAGTTGCGGGACAAGATCATCGGACTACACCACGACACACCTTTGGTCGGACACGCTGGAATCAACCAAACACAGGAGATAGTGGAAAGGAACTACTGGTGGCCAAGGATGGGAAACCAAATTCGGAAATACATCCAGACGTGCGAGACGTGCCAGCAGACCAAGACCAGGAGAGCAAGGACAGGGACTCTGCACCCGCATGCAGTCCCAAATGCGCCATGGGAAATCATCTCCATGGATCAAATCGGACCCCTACCGGTTAGTAATGGGTATGACACAATCCATGTGTGGTGTGACACCTTCACCAAAATGATCCATGTCGAACCAATTAGTACTGACATCAGCAGTGAAGGAGTTGCACGGTTAACCAGAGATCAAGTCTTCCGCTACCATGGGATCCCCCGCAAGATCATCACCGACAGGGATTCGCGTTACATCAAGGGCTTCATGAAGGAGACAAATCGGATGTTGGGGGTGGAAATGAATCCGGGGACCGCATATCACCCGATCACAGATGGACAAACGGAACGCATGAATCAGGAGATCGAGCACTATCTCCGCATCTACGTCAATTACCATCAGACGGACTGGTCGGAGTGGCTGGGAATGGCGGAGTTCGCATACAACAACAAGATGAACACGTCTACCAAAATATCACTGTTCTATGCCAATCACGGATATCACCCATGGAAGGGAGTAGAACAACGGATGGAATCGAGGAACAAGTCAGCGGAGGAGTTTGTAAAAAGAATCAAAGAAATACAAGACAAAGCAAAAGCAGCATTGGAAAAAGCAAATGAAAAAATGAAAAAATACTACGATAAACAAAGAAAAGAAGTTCCGGAGTTGAAGGTTGGGATGAAGGTGTACATAGAAGGGGAAAATATCGAGACGGATAGACCATCAAAGAAGATGAGCGACAAGAGATTAGGACCATACGAGATACTGGAGAAGGTTGGAGCGGCCGCATGGAAACTGGATTTGCCGGACACGGACCGAAGACACCCGGTGTTCAACGAGTCACTATTGACACCATATCACAAACCACCCCCCCATCGCCGAGAGAAGAGGCCCGTAGCCAAGATGATCGGAGGAGCAGAGGAGTGGGAAGTCGAAGAGATCGTGAAAGAGCAAAACGTCGGCCGAGGAAAGCAGTACTTGGTCAAATGGAAGGGATGGCCGCATAGCGAGAACACCTGGGAACCATCACGTCACCTTACCCACGCGAAGCAGGTCCTAAGAGATTGGCAGAGGAAACAATCAAATCCAGACACACGCATTCGCCTCCTGCCAACGCTCGAAGCGGGACACTGGGACTATGTCATTCATCGCTACAAACCCAGGGACGAGCGCCTTCCATATCCCCAACGACAACTCTTCGACCCTTACGAGAACGTCTTCACGCCCATTGGCCTAGTCAATGAGGACATCGACCCTAGAGAGGGGGTACTGTCATAGTTCGGCTACTTTTTCATCTTATCATCAACGATCTTATTGTAAGGGCAACCTCAAGGCCCGATCTCAGAGTCCTGACAAGGGAGAGTCCAAAGAGAAACCGAGTTGGGGACTCTCCTTGTCAGGGCCCACTATATATAGCCTACAGAACAATGGATGACCAAGCACAATGGAAGCGCCAGACAATGGGGCCAGGGAACAATGAGGGGCCGGATCGGGGGGAACAATGGGAGCCGGACCGTCGGAACAATGGGGGTCCGGGCCGGAGTGTCATGTGGATGCGCTTGGCAGGGGAGTCCGGACCGAAGCATGTGACGCTTGACAGATGGCACGTGCTTGGTCACATGCAAGATCCCATGATGATCGGACGAAAGCAGGGGTTCCCCTGACACTTATCTTATCTTGGCATGACTTATCTTATCACGGCATCAGTCGGTCTGGGCTAGGGGTTTCAGGGATTATCTTTATTGATTCAAGGCTGCGCAACATATGCTCCGGAAGGTTCTACTACAACCCATTACCAGTGCTCCATGTGGTACATAGTCTTATGACTCATTAGTTGTTGATATGACTCAGACTGGATTTGGGTATAAATACTGTAGCTACTTGGTTGTATTCTCCAGTCTTCGAATTCACTTCTCTTTTCAACTATTGTTTTTGGTTGATTGTTACACGTTTATTCCCAGCGTTCATCTCATCTTCAACCCCACATGTCTGACTGGCCGGGATAGTGACCCGCAGATGCAAGCCCTTCAGCCTCGCTGCCATCGGCATGTATTTCATCAGCCTGTTTGCCTTCCTCCAAGTCGGCGCTGGGATTGCCCAGGTCATTGTCTTGTATGTTCTTTCCATTGCACACACACCCTGTTTTTTTTTCATGTTCATCGCTTTTTTAGACACCAAGTCCGGTTCTATGCAAACCTTGACTCAACCAAGGTGCAGACCCTTGCGTGCTGTTTTGGTGCTTTTTACATAATACTGATTGCTGCGCAGGGCATCACGGCATTGCAAGGCGCCGCCTCGCTCGCCTGCAATCTGCTGATCACGGTCTATCTCTGCATTTTCTTGAAGCACCAGAAGACCGGTGAAATGCTGAGGGCGTGCTCACAAGTGAATCTACTATGAAAGTAAACCCAAATATAAACACGTTCACACTCCTTGTAATCAGCTTCTCAGTGTGTGAAAGATGCGAGGGCTTCGGGGTGGACAGAGCACCAGTATCACAACTCTCAATAGACGCA